ATCTGTTTAGGGACAAAGGCTAAAAATAGTCTTATTGTGGTTCCTTTGCAGCAATGCTAAGCAATTTAATATCCCTGTCAAATAAATCAAGTTTCATTCATAGTGATACTTTTAGGTATATCAAAGGTTTTTGACCAGAGATCATTACATTAAAATGAAATACACTGATTCTTCTAATAAATGCAGATAATGCACTTTTGCTTTAAATAAGAAAGCATTATTCTTAAGCTTGACAAAAAAAGAAGAAAAGTAATCAAAGCCAAACAGACTAAAGAAAATCATGACAAACAACCATATATAAACCTTTCAATGAGATATTTTCCAATTCTATTTGATTTGATAGTAAGACAGTGTGCTAGATAATCTGATTAAGAATAGTTTTGATCATTTCCTCTTAAAGACAGGTGTCTTAAGGGGTTTAATCCCCTGTGAGATGACCTGAACATGGCGCCGCATCCTGCAGCAGGCATGATCTTCCATCCTACAGGGGCTGGGGAGCCATTCATAGCAGAATGGTCCTGTGAGGATATAGGCAAGGTGTAATTATTCAGCTGCGAGTCAAGCAGGTCTTTCACATTTCTTCTGGCTCCCTGGACTCCATAAATCAAAGTCTGGACATTAGTCACACTAAAAAGAAGCATTTCAGAAAGAAAAACCAGCCTTTTAGTAAAGGGAATTACACGCTGCTCTCTGACTCTTTTGGCTTTTTCTCATGCATGGAACTAATACATCCTATAGCCTATTTAACAAAAAAAGATTACAATTCTTTTCACTTTGATGTTTTTTCTTGAGCATATAAAATGTAAAAGGTGAAGCTAAGGTAAAGGCTAATGTTTTGTATCCAACTTTCAACTTTGCATTAATATTAATACATAATATAAAAGATGTTAGTACATTTAGATTTTTAACTGACTAAAATTTAGAGTTGAATTTAGTGAATAACTAAATTAAATTGCACATTATTTTTCTTTCATAGTGATTATTTTGACCTTCAAATGATGTTATTTAAACTGAAAACCAAACATTTAGATCAGATTAATTTCTTGCATTTTTAGGACGATCAAATTTCTCCCTTTTGCTTAAAGCCAGGACATGACAGAATATTTTTGAATCATTATTTAAATTCAGAAGTCCACATATCGTTTGTGATGACACAGTTAACTATGCAGGCTAGAGTAAAATGCAGAACATTTTCATAAACCATAAATTATACATAAGATGCAATCAGCAGGGAGAGTGAAAAAGCTACGGAATGAAATAAAAAAAATGAAATGGCGAGAAGGTTTGCAGCCAGACGCAGAGAAGTCGTGGTGCAAAAGGCACTGATATGGAAAATTTCAGGGCAAAATAAATAAATAAATATTGTTCAAAATGCCGTCGAACATTTGAACTGCATCCTATTTAAAAGGATTATAAAAGTTCAGCACGTTAGTGGTGCAAAATAATGATGCATGTCTGATGCAGAGTCTGTGACATGATTTAGAGTTTTCTCCGTCCTCTCTGCTGTTCTCACCTTCTTCCAGTCTGAGGCGCTGCAGCCTCCACACCACACAGTGAGACAGCTGCTCAGAAAACGCTCTCTATGGTGCTTCTGGAGAAGGTGGGGAGGATGGGGGGGCAGGAAGTCCAAGCGCTTCTGGGCCCTTTGGACCAGTGAGGTGGTGTTTCCAGTCCAGGTGAGGGTGTCTGTGATGCTGACCACCTCTACAGCTGAGCTGTTGATGAGCAGTGGAGCGTGGTTAGGCCGCTTCTTCCTGAAGTCCACCATGATCTCCTTGGTCTTCTCCACCTTCAGGATCAGGCTGTTATCTCTATATAAGGCTGAGACTGTAACACATCACACAACTGGGACTAAAGATATATTTAAAAGATTTGTTAAATATCTATGTCTTCACTGTCAAGTGAAGAGAGATTAAACATGTCAGGCGCAACAATATAATTTATTTATTTGTATATAAGAAAAAATGTATATTTTAATCAGTATAAATCCAACACTTCATAAAGGTTTTATTAATGTTCCATATTAAAGTTTAGGATAATTCAATTTCTAAAGTTGTTCATTGGTCGAAGCAGAAAATCTTGGCTAATAAAAACATTTATTTCTTCATAGAGGTTTGCTGTTTTTAACCATGTTAAACATATTTTAGCTGTGCAGATTCTCCATCATCAGGGTCAAGGCAATCGAAGGGCATTGTGATATCAGAGGCAACTGTGATCCGTGTTTCTGGAGATGTTTTCACACATTTTCATTACGGTCAGTTTATTCCAAGTCAGATGCTAATTAATGATCAACTCGTCTTTTGCTTTAGATGTTGGGTTATTCTTTTGTGTCTCAGGTCATTTGAGTAATAATTAGTTTGCTAAAATGCCAGTGATGCTTTTCCTTAAACAAACATGGTTTCCTTTCTTTTAAAGGAGTATTTCTTCTCTCTGGGATTTTCATGCATAAAAAAACAAACATCAAACCTCCTGGGTAATCATTTTATTTTAGGGCAATTTACTGGAGAACCAAGAGCTTGGATGATGTTTTCTATCCAACACTGTTGATCTCAGAAGATAAGACTCCTATATATAAGATTTCTGACTCTGAGGGCACTTTGGTCAAATCCATTATTTTTATTGCATAAAAGCCTCAAATCTGGGGCAGGAAGCATGTTTTGCAGAGGAACATCTGTTTGTGTTTGTTGTTGTTATACAGCCAATAACTTCTCAGGTATTGAATTTAAAACTCACTCTGCCGATATAAAAGGCAGAGTGAGTCATCGGGGGGAAACAACTTTGTATCTGATTTCCTGTTTTTGGGAAATGTTAGCTGGCTGTGAGGATGAGTTTATTTGACCTGTTTTATCTGTTTTTAGTGAGAATAGCAGTGAGCTGAGAGCTCAAACAGCAATATCTGAATGACGCCTGATTACTGGGATTGCTGTGGTTCTGTCAGGAGCTCCTCCCTAAATAATGGAATTGCTTTTCTAAATGTATTTCAGGCCAAACCTTTAAAGTTTCTGTTTAGCAGAATTAAAAATAAACTTTTAAATATAAAACATAAAGCTCCAACAGAGGAAGGAGGTAATAGAAAGATTATTCTCTGCATCATGAGACACTATTCAGCTTTTCTGAGAGCATGAAATTAATAAAAAAAAACTTTTTTATATAGTTTCTTAGCCCATAGTTGTTAATTGTCTAAAACCCTGAAGTTAACAGCCTTAATGCTGAATCCATTTCAATGATTTGGTCTCCTTATTTAAAGCTGTTTCATTCTATTCAATTCCAACTTTATTTAGTTATTTGATTTGTTTTAGTATTTAGCTTTTTGTTTTGGGGAAGCTATTTGATTGACCTTGTTTTTAAATAAAGTAGATAATGACATTGTAAGTCGTTATTATTCTATGAAGCTCAGTGAAACTTTTTTTCTCTTTCTTTTTTTTTACAATTAAAAGGCTTCAATTAATGAAATAAGTAGCAAACAGAAAATATGATTGTGTCTAAAATAGTGAATTTCCAGGAATTATCCACGTTTTGTGAGAAATGGTTCTTTACATTATATTTAGTTTGCTTGTATGAATGCAGTTGGAGCTGCTCAGTGGCGCAGTGGGTAGAAAGTTCCCGGTTCCCTGCCTGCTGTATTCTGCATGGAGTTAGCATGTTCTCCCTGAGCATGTGTGGGTTCTCTCCGGGTACTCTGGCTTCCTCCCACAGTCCAGAATCATCACCCGTAGACACCAGCACCCCTCACCACCCCAGCAGGGATCAAGTGTGACAGAAAACGGATGAAAGAGCTTTTCCTTTCAATCTGATACGATTGAGAAGCAATTTCTTCCCAGAGGTTGCGATCATCCTTTATCATGAATAAAACTGATTTGAACTGATTTTCCAAGCAGTGGAGCTTTGCTTATGGACCAGTGTGTCGATGCTACTGCAAGCTAAATCAGGCAGGACTGATTTTTTGTTCAGTTGCTGCTATGAGGCAATTTTTTTTTTTTTTTTTGTTGGGTCAGACTGGATTGGATAGTTTTGTTTTGTTTGTATATTTAAGGTAACTTTGTCTGAGAATTAGTTTGTTAAATATTTTGAAACAAGCAAATCTGATTTAAAAAAAGAGGAATCTATGAAGAGCCACTATTTTACATGAGACCTCATGTTGAGGCTACGGCTCCTATAGTTTCTCTTTGTTGGTCAGTTTAACATAAGATTTGACACGATAATTAAATTTTAGATGTTGCTTTTATGGCATTTTATCATTACATGTTTTGCCTTCAGTATATTATATATTTGGATGAATGTGCTTATATTTCATGGCATAAACTGAATTTAGTTTTTAAGGTCAGCAGTGATTTAATGCCTTAGAGAAGGAAAGTTGGCAGAGCTCCTGCCTTCAGCCCACATGTTTATCTCCAAACATGGTTGCTTAAATGTTAAGCAGTTTCTAAAATCCATGGGCCTCCATCGGTTCGCCTTTATGACTCCTGTGAAGTCCAGTAGATTGTGTGTGCGGGATTTTAAATATAAGCACTTTTCTTCAAATACTAATAATTTTTAAATGAAACCTTAAGCAAGATGTTCTTCTTGATATTTTTTTTTTCTGTGAAAATTGCCCTGTCCAAATGCCTTTATTTAAGTTTTTATTCAATGGGCTCCTAATCTATCTAAAATAACCCAACTGGCTGAAATATGTGTCTTTAAAACATCAAACTTTCATTTACGCTGCAGGTTACATGTTGGGATTATAGTCCAGCCTGGTCCTGATCACAACCTTCCACACATTTAGCTGTTTGATTTATCAAATATATATTTTGTGTAGCACTAATTGATAATAAACATGAATCCAATGTGAGTTACTAGACAAACAAAAATCATATTTAGAGACAAAACTCCAAGTTCAGTCAAATAGACCCATTGCAGTTTAATTAGCTGAAGCTGTCAGAATTAGCTGCCTGAAAAACATCTTTGCAGAACATTATAACCTAATGGAACTAAAAGCTAATTCGACTTTAAACCATTTCTGCAATGTTATACCTGATATTTGCTCCTTTCTGCCAAGCTGTCTAAAAGCAAACTGTTGGACACAAACAAACACGGTCAGTTCAACTTCAGTACTTTGGTTTCTTTATTACATCATAGAAAACAAAATAAATTTCTTCTGTAAAGATGATATAAACAGGATGTTTTTTCTTTAAAAAATGGCAGCAATGAATCGATCTTTTAGTTTCTGCTTTTAAAAGCTGTTCTAGCATGATGAATGACAAACATGCCAACAATAGAAAAATACAAGAAAGCAAAAGCAGAAATCAGTCCTCCGGTTCACCAGGCGCTTCAGTTCTCCTCTGGCAATGAAAGGAACGCCTCTCAGCAAATGTTTGCTGTCTCTGAAAGTCTCTGACAGCTGTTGAGGTTTCCCGCAGGTCAGACAGATCTCACTGTGGTCCTCCCACCCTGGAGAAGAACAGAATACATTTGAGACATTTTCTATTAAAACCGTTTTTATCTGGATTTCTTGGCAAGTGAATTTCAGAAGATTGACTGAGTGAAGAGAAGCTGTGCTCATGGAAGCGTGTCTCTCTTTTACCTCCTTCCACATCACAACCCTGAGCTGAATGATTGGATTCTGGGTGTGGAGGTGTTTGGTCTGAACAAGGCTGCCGCTGTCAGCCGGGGCGCTGCATCTCTGCTGCACCACGGGAAATAATCGGGAAGTAGCACATTTCTGACTCCCAACTTCCTTATCCTAGAAACAGGGAAGAAGGAAAGCTCAGGTTTTCCTTTTTATTAACAAACTTTTTATAACTATTTTACTTAGAGATAATAATAATTTTTACTATGATCTGTGTTTATAATAATCTTACAATAAGTCTGACCATAAAACCTAAAATCCTAAAGGGTAGAAAAACGCCTGTAAACTGAGAAACAATTAAAGATCCTCTTCTGTTGGTTCCTATTGGACAACAATATGGACTGATTGAAAAATATCACAATAATATTTATATTATCAACTAAATTCATTATATTATTGAAGTCAAATCTAATGTTGGATGCAGTCTTTATGCAGAACTAAAACTGCTAGACTAGACAGCTGGCCAGCAGCTGACTTATATAGTAACAATTTACTTTTATTTTTTTCTATGATAGTAATTTTGAATCCAATCTGGTAAAAGTACACAATTCCTCACAAATCAAAAAATGCTTATATTCTCAGTTTTGGTCCAATTTATCCAAAAACGTTGCAGAAACATTTTTGCATCGTAACATTCGATTTATATTTCTGTCTATTTTCTTTCTGTTTTCCAATAAAGCACGTACGCCTCTTCCAGGTGCTCTGAGACACACCTGAAAAAAATCTACAACATCAAAACTTCAAAGTTGGAATTGAAAAAAAAATTGTTTTGAAACAACAGTTTTGGATCATTTGGAGCAAAACCGAGAATGTCAGCATTTTTATGATCTGCTGGACTTTTACTGAACAATTTTAAAAGGTGTAACTTATTTTTGTAATTGTGAAAAATTTGATGAAAAAATCTTGATGTAAAAAGCTTATTTGATTTTCTCCGAGACTTCTAATTTACAGTGACAATGCATAAAACTGAACAATAGAACTGACTTACTAGACATGTTAGCGTTTCCAAATTTTGCTTGTGTTGTAAATATTTAGAAAATCCTAGATCCAGTTCATCTACTGGAATCATTTCCAATTTTATTTAAAGGTTATTGGCCTTTTTTATTTATTAAACTGTGACTCTTTTGTCCTTTAAGTGTGTATCCCGTGTTCAGACTTAGTTAACATTTTAACTTCTAATTTTCTTTTTCTGCCCCCCCCATGCATATTCTTGCTGAATTAGAAAAGGGGAAAGTGCTGAAAACACCTTTTAGTTTGCTTTACTCCCAGACAAGTTAAAGACTAAAGCAGGATTTAAAATAAACGTAATGCCAAACAAATGCTTTAAAGTAGTTCATGCATCCAAGCAATGAATTTGACTTGAGTTAAAAATGCTCAAAGTTTACAAAGACATCAATATAAATTGATAAACTTTCCCACAAACCCTGAGATGTCCAAATAGGATTTCTGAGTAAATTTTTTAAAATTCTTTTGTCACTCACTAGGGATCATTGTTGGTGATCCTTTCCTTAGAAGATGCCACATCTCACTGCTCCATGACCCTCAGTCGGTGCCCTGGTTGAAATGCTCCAGCACAGTAGCATTGGTTCGCTCAAACAGCCACTGCTGACTCAATGCCGTTGGGTCACACATGTTCATGAAGACTCGACGTTCACTGGTTCTGCTGTCGATGCAGCTGTTACTGACTGGATGGTACAGACTCTTGTCCTGGAGGACATAAAACAGCCACGCTATTAGAGGATCTTTACTGTTTCTGCTCCTAATTCTTCCCCAGTTTTTAATTAATCACTTTAACTCTTCAAACAAAGGTTGACTCAGCCAAGGTCAAAGCAGTAAAGTTGGATTTTAAGACAATCCTTTTTGTTCTTTTTATTTTTTTTGCCATAATAATCACCCTTTGTAAAAACTTCTGTTATTTTTTCTGTTCTCATAACATTTCTATCCAGCTTTCATTTTCTTATTTTACATTTCCATGGTTATCTGTAGCACTCACTACCAAAACAAAGTCCTTTTCTAAGGACTTAGGACTCTGTACCTTTCTATAACGCCAAAGCTGATTCCCTTTCATCCCATGACAGTCGTATAGAGTAACTGGGCTGCTGTGGGACACGGCGTCAAAGCAGACCTTCCTGGTATGATTGGGCTCACCCACACGGATGTCTTCTCTCCAACCAAACGTCAACACCTGCAGAAAACAAAAGAATAACTTAATCTGAAACAATTACGCTTTTCTCCTTGAAATTCTGTCAAAATGACCTAAATGGTCCATAGATGTCCAGGATAAAATGAGATGTATTTCATGTAGAGAGGCTCCCTACTATGCATAAGGTGAGCAAATGTTCCAATCCTTTACGGGGGCCGTCAGTCAAAATAACTAAGCACCTAGTGAGTAAAATGTTTCAAAATGTACAAATATGTGATGGAAACTACAGTTGAAGAAAATAAAAGGCATCTAAAACAAAGACTTTCGTATTTTGAACTAGGTCAGGTCAGTAAAATGGATTTTCACACGGCTTTTTGTAAAGTTTGCCAAAGTGTTTTTTTTATTTCATAAAGAGGGGAGCTAAGCACTGCATTTTTCATATTGTCCATCATATAGCCTTAGCATCCTTGTTTTTCCGTATTTTATTTTGAAGCTCGATGTCGATGGTTATTATACTTTATCTTTCTGTTATCACGAGCGCTTACCATGGTTCTAAAACACTGTTAATTAAAGTGTTTTACTGATTGTTTCCCATTTTGCTATATCCACTGTGTTTCCAAACCTGGCTGGTTTACTCAAAGATTTTACTTTATACTTTCCCCAAAGTCAATGTGTTTTACTTTGCCACAACGTCTAAATCGCTATGCAGGTCCCACCAAAATGAACCAGGGGTCTGACCCTCCCCATTCTTTTTGTCTCTGTAGAGTGCCTTTATATGAGATGTGTTGTGAATTGGCTCTATAGAAATAAACTGAATGGAACTGAATAATTATTCAATGAGCTGTAAGGGACATAACCACATATGATCAGATCAAATTGGATTTTTTTGTTTTTCTGTTTGGGATCATAAGTGAATTTGTTTTACTTCATTTACAAAGGAACCTAGTCTCTTCTTATTAACTGTACCTGTTTAATGCAGGTTGTAGTGGGAAAAAAGTATTCAACTATTCATCCTAGTTAAATAAACAGAGATCGATGGATTTCACTCAGTCGGCACATTTATTAATATCTTTGCAAAGAGAGAACAGTCATCATACAGCCTTTATGGCAGCATTCTGCCCTGTTCTGCATGAGCAGCGTTCGTTCCTCCTTAGTTACAACAATGGAAAAGTATTCAGAGTCAAAACAAATTACAGACACTTTGGTTAAACAGTAACATGTTATGAATAAACCTTGAGAAAGAATCTGGTTTGTTATGGGAAGAAGCTACGTCTGGTGTACAAACACCATCCTGCAGGGAATCAGACAAACCAATCGCGGATAGAGGAGTGCTAATTATCTTATTTTTAATAAGATCGATCTTACTTATAAAGAATCCCATAAAATCATTGCTGCTAAGAGCAGGTGGAATGGACGGTTCAACAGAGCTATGGCTCTGGGTAAGTTTTGGCAACTGTATTAAAAAGAAATCTAGGATTATTCTTATTCTCCTCTATTAATGAGGTGAAGTATGCTGGTCTTGCTTTACAAAGGGTCCTCTTATACAGCAGTAAACTATTTTTCCAGACTAGGAAGGACTCCCGCAGGCCTGTGGA